CATCTGCCATTGTCCAACGCTTCAATGTTTTCAAAAAGCAACCATTCTCTCAACCAGCAAAAAGCAGATAGTTCACAGCAAAATTTAAAGGTCTGGCAGGGCAGGTCCTCCTCCTTCTTTGGCATCCATCAATATCTTAAGTTTTACTCGAGGCTTCCTGCCCTGCCAAACAACTCTAAAAACATCCCTCTGCCACCTCCTGAAACCCTCCATCCCATCCAAGGCTTGCAGTGTTTGAAACAAAAGCAACATCCCCAACAACACAGCAGCCCTCATCCCCACCACAGTAACTCGGCCCAACAGTAACAACTTCTGATTTGTCCATATTTCCAAATCCCCCTTCTCCTCAATCCAACATCCTTCACAGTTATCCTTAAGCAAATTCACATTTTTGGCAGTCATACTAACCCCCAAATACCTCTCTTTCTCAACCAATGTTAGTATCGCCTCCTGAAACTCTGTCAAGCTTTCCTTTTCCAATTCAGATAGGGCTCTGGTCCTCAAATTCATCCGTTCTTCTTTAAGTTCAGTCATAACGAATGTCAACTTATGTTCGTCAGGTTGTCTTTGTATGGATGGGACTCTCCTCTCCAGTTGTACAGGTTTTAATATTTTGTTGGGTGCTGCCCAGAGTGGCTTGGGCAACCCAGTCATTTGGGCAGCATATAAATAATAAAAAATTTATTATCATTATTATTAGTAGCAGCAGTAGTAGTACTGAGAGTTGTCTGATGTGCTGGACCTCTGTCTTGCCTCAGTTATGGACTGGATGAGAGTTAAGAAATTAAAGCTCAATCCAGATAAGACTGAGGCATTGTCAGTGTGCAGTCCCTAGACCGGATGGATGGATGGGAGGTTGTCTGCTCTTGATGGAGTTACTCTCACTCTGAAGGAGCAAGTACGCAGCTTGGGGATACTTTTGGATCCATTACTATTGCTTGAGGCTCAGGTGGCCTCAGTGGCCCTGAGTGCCTTCCATCAGTGTCTGCTGGTGGCTCATCTGCAGCCCTATCTGGACAGGGATAACCTAATGTAGATTGTAAACCACTTGGAGATTTTTTTCCCCTTGAAAAATGTAAAGCGGTACAGAAATTAAATGAAATGAATAATAATAATTTCTGTCACCTATGCTCTTGTAACCTCTCGGTTAGTTTACTGCAACATGTTATATGTGGGGCTGCCTCTCAAGATGGTTTGGAAACTTCAGCTGGTGCAGAATTTGGGGCCCAGGTTGCTTACTGGGGCGCAAGGCATCTTGAGAATATAACACCAATCTGGGCCTGACTTCACCGCTAGCAGTTGGTTTCTGGGACCAATTCAAAATGCTGGTTTTTGACATGCAAAGCCTTAAATGGCTCAAGACTGCCTCTCCCCATATGACCCGACCCAGGTCTTATGATCGTCTTCTGAGGTCCTTCTTCATGTTCCTCCTCCATGGGCTATTTCTATGGTGGCTTCCCATTTGTGGAATGCTCTCTCCAGGGAAGCTTGCCTGGGGCCTTGGTTACATATCTTTAGCGGCCAGGCAAAAACATTCCTCCCCTCTTAGACCTTTGGCTAATTAAACAATTTATGGCCTTTCTGGGAGCTGTATGTTTTTTGTTTGTTACTACGTTGTGTGTTTTTGTGTTTTGATATTGCAAACTGCCTATTCCCCTCACAAAGCTACAGTTCCCAAAGTAGCTTAACAGTCAATCCCTCTTCCCTCAGGGAACTCTGGGAAATGAAGTTCTGAGAAGAGAATATGGGTCTCCTAACAACTTTCAGCACCATTACTTCCCAAAATTCTTCAGGGGAAGCCATGGCTGTTTAAATTGGTATCATTGTGCTTTAAATATATATTCTTCTTCTTTGGCGATCACTCGTGGCTGAGTTAGATTGTCTTCCATGAACACGGTCTTAACAGTGAGTCTGTAAGTGACTGTGAAGGCCAATTCTGGATCCACACATCCTTCCACAGTGGGGATATAGGTTTCTGGACAGGAGTTGATCACGGTGAGGGTTTGCCAAATGTGCCTTCCACTTAGCACGTTTCTCCCTTTCATCCTGAGTTCAAGCATCTTCAGTGTCCATGACACCTTTGGTCAAGGCTGTTCTCCAATTACCGTATTTTTCGCTCTATAACACGCACCAGACCATAACACACACGTAGTTTTTAGAGGAGGAAAACAAGAAAAAAAAATATTCTAAACGAAACAGTGGATATATGATTTTTGTGGTTCATGCTGTGGCCACAGACATGTGATCTGACAGTGAGTTTGGAGTAGCTCAATGCAAAAATCCTGAGGATCCATGTGGATCCATTCTTTGTAACCACGTTTTTGCACCACTGTGGCCCCAGGCAACAGTGGGTGCGTAATTTTTTTGGTGCAAGATGTAGCCATGGACATGCTATGTGATCTGATGGTGAATTTGGGGTGACCCAGTGCAAAAATCCTGAGGATCCATGTGGATCCGTGCTTTGTAACCACATTTTAATTGGGGAAGGAAGGAAAAGCACTCAAGGGACAAGGAACACGCCTGGGGTGTGTGGAGAAGGATGCTGCTAATAATGCAGGAGAGGAGTTTAAGGGGAGAAGGAACATGCGTGGGGTGGGTGGAGAAGGATGCTGCTAATAATGAAGAAGAGGGGTATAAGGGGAGAAGGCTCCTCTCCCCTCCCGCTTTGCTCCTTTAAAGAAGCAGGCTCTCTGTCCCTCTCTCCTCCCCACTCCGCGGCTCTTCTCCCGCTTTGCTGTTTCAAAGCGAGCCACGGAGGAGGGAAGGAAGGGGAACCATGGATCCTCTGCTCACGACTGCAGCAGATCCCCTCCGCCACCCGCAGGCATTCGCTCTGTAACACGCACAGACATTTCCCCTTACTTTCTAGGAGGAAAAAAGTGAGTGTTATGGTGCAAAAAATACGGTAATTCTTTGGGGAAAGCCATGGCTGTTTAAATTGGTATCATTGTACTTTGAATATATTGTTTGGTAGTGGCCTGGCATCTCCACATTCCACCAAGGCCTTTGTTTCAAAGCTGTTGCCTCTTTCCTCAAAGCAGCGCTTTTCCTCTTGGCCAGTGATGCTGAAATGCTACTGAAATAGAAATGTATGGGGGAGTTGGGAGACTTAAGTAAAATCTGACCCAGGTAACCTGCTGTAACCTTGGCTGCCCTTCCTTGGAGATTAGTCAGGGTAGAGAGATTTCCTTCTCAATTGCAAAAACACCCAACCGTCTCCATTACAAGGTGCCAGCGGCTGGTCTGTCTGTCTCTTGACAATACAAGTCTCCTTCGGTTGACAAGTGTGTTCACAACTCCCCGTTCTGAAAAAATAAAATAAAACCCACCTCTACTTGGCTGAATCATGGTTCCAAAATGTTTTAGTTGGTTTTATACTCCTAGTGTACTCAAACTGTTAGAAGCTACAGTACCTGCCACTGTCACTTCAACCTGCTATCAAAGAACTATTGAGATACAGAAGGAGTGGGGGATGATATCTAGATATCTATATCCGTAGCATTGTTGTCTGTGTACTGACTCTGGTGGGAGGGAGGAAATAACCCATCATTACCATGTCTGGGAAATTCCCTGAAATTGAAGGATTTCATGGGCATGGTTGTAATTGACCTGAGCTTTGTATGTGCCAACTTGTACAGGCAGATGACAAGTTTGAGAGGTGTGCGTGTGATCAAATTTTCGTTCGCTTTAAACTCTACACAAATAGGGTACTTTTTTTGGGGGGGGGTAATCCTCATTCCATGTACCGTGATATATGCCATCACGTATTGTGTATTATCAAGATTACAAACTTCAGGATGACCATATCTCATCTTTACAAGAATGCTGTGAGGTCACATAAAGGTAAAGGGACCCCTGACCATTAGGTCCAGTCGTGACCGACTCTGGGGTTGCGGTGCTCATCTCGCTTTATTGGCCGAGGGAGCCGGCGTACAGCTTCCGGGTCATGTGGCCAGCATGACTAAGCCGCTTCTGGCGAACCAGAGCAGCGCACAGAGACGCCGTTTACCTTCCTGCCGGAGCGGTACTTATTTATCTACTTGCACTTTGAGGTGCTTTCGAACTGCTAGGTTGGCAGGAGCAGGGACCGAGCAATGGGAGCTCACCCTGTCATGGGGATTCAAACCGCCGACCTTCTGATCAGCAAACCCTAGGCTCTGTGGTTTAACCCATAGGCCACCCACGTCCCTGTGAGGTCACATAGAGAGGACTAAAAGCCCAAAGTCATTCAGTGGCAGGAATTTGGCCCCAGGCCATGCTGCAGAGCCTGTGGCAGACTGGGGTGTGGGTGTGGTGAATGCTAGTATGGGGGGGGTTGGGCTGGTAAGGGGGCTTTGGGCAGTGCATGACCTGGCCAACCATTGGTGCCCAGTTGCGTACCCACTAAACTCAACCATTGGTGCTCAGTTGCATACCCACTAAACTCCACTAGTTGTGACTCAGTTGCCTTTGGCCTGGGCTTCCTTTTCCTCCCTTCCCAGCTGTTTATCTCTTGCCTGCCTTCCTCTCACCCCTTCTGCTCACTGACTTGCCCCCCCCCACCCCAGTACATCTCCGTCTCCTTCTTTGTATTTGTTGGCTCCACTGCTTCCATTCCCGTATATTAAACACCTTTGGGACTCGTCATTCCGAAGACTTCACACCCTAATTATTCCTTCCCGGATCCTGAATTGTTTTTCATGCTCTCCGCCTCCTTTTATTTTCCTGCTCAGTAAATGTTTGCCCACTAGTAAAATGTTGTGAAGAGCCCGCTGAAACTCTCTCAATTACCTGCTGCTTTTTCTTTGCTTTTGCACAAGAAGATTAGCTGAGCTATGTGATTTGCGGTAGTCGTGGATGCATGGACTTTTCTGTGAGTCATCTAGATTTTGGAGTAGCTGGAGATGCTAGGGATTGAACCTAGGTCCTTCTGCCTGAAAAGCATGGAATCATAGAAGCGTAGAGTTGGAAGGGACCCCGAGGATCATCTAGTCCAACCTCTGCAATGCAGTAATATTCAGCTGTCCTGTACGGGGATCAAACCTGCAACCTTGGTGTTATTAGCACCATCCTCTAACCAACTCATCTAATTAGTGAGGCATGCACTCTTCCCCTGAGCCATGAGTTCTCTTCTGTATGTTCCCCAATCATGCACTCTCTGTGTACAGACTAGGCCAAAATATTATAACTGATAGATGAACAAAATGGATTTTGAAGTGGGAATGACCTTGACTTTCCTGGGACTCCTATGAACCAGGGTCCTGCTTGAGGAGATGGGGCACTCTTTTTCTTTTCTCTAGAAGCACGCTATGAAGCGCCCTAGAACCTGTCTGCATATTGCATAACTAGTCAGCGGTCTGTTTCCAGGCGCAATTCAGAGTGCTGCTTATGACCCAAGCTATTCAAAGGACTGTATTTCCTCATATGAACCTGCCTGGGTTTTGAGTTCTTTTGGGGGAGGCTCTTCTCTTGGTCCTGCCACCCTCACCGGCATGCTTGGAGGGGGACACAAGAGAGGGTCTTTTCGGTGTCTGCTCCCAGACTTTGGAACTCCCTCCCTAGAGAAGCCAAACTGGCTCCCTCCTTGTTGTCCACCTTCCGACAGGTGAATACTTTATTTTTCCAACAGGGAGCTGCTTTTATAATGAAAAAGCTGGTGCTGTGCTGTTTTTATTGCAATTATGTGTATCGTTTTAATCGATTTCTGTAGATAGAATTAAAACTATCTGTGTTTAATTGTTTTTTAATTATTTTTTCTATATTTTTAGCAGCTCTTATTTTTTATCTGCAAGCCTCCTTGAGTCATGTGAGGGGAAAAGGCAGGGCATAGATAAAATGATGATGATGGTGGTGATGATGCAGTTAGGTCATTTTGGACTCTGAACTTAATGGTCCTACCAGTGTGGGTGGATGTTGGTGTCTTTTGTTGGCAGTGTGTATTACTTCATTTCAAATGTTGTAATGCCCCCCATCACAATTTCTTCAACACCTTTATAATGTTGGTTTCTAAAGGCCAATTGTTAAAGAGACAGGTATTGCGAAATATCCTGCTTGCTTCTCGTTCAGACCCCCCCCCCGTGTTTTTAAGTATGCGTTCCCGCGACCTGATTTATCTCATTATTCATCTTGCAAATTACCATAAGGAGGTGCACGGCCAGAACCTTTCTTCATTTTCAGAGCTGACAATAATCATTCCTCTTCTATTTTCTGTCTCTCTGGTTGCTCTGTGCTTCCTGTGTAAGATGATATCTTTATGCCCAGACTGGCAGATGGAAAACCAAGAATCCGTTACATTTGCAATTATGATTTCCTAGTTGGCTTGCCTTGCCTCTGAAGCTACCCTATTGTGCCTTGTCAGTTTCTGCAGTGTGTGCCTTCTGGAGTTCCTCCCTAGTCCCCATGCCCTTCCGTTTCTTCTTCTTGCTATTCTGTCCTGCCCTCAATTAAAATAACCATTGCTTGGCATTGTATTTCCTGCATCCTGTAGATACCTGTAGAAAGCGTCCAAAAAACCTCCAGAGGGTCAGTATTAGCCCCATGGATCAACAGTTTGGGTTGTAAACATTTTTACATTTTGTTGCTGCTGTCTATTAAAACAAGATTCTGTTTTCTTCTTCCTGAGATAGAACCAGTTCATGTGAGCATTTTGTAAGGGGCAGCAAAGTGCAGATACAGTGGTACCTCGGGTTAAGTACTTAATTTGTTCCGGAGGTCTGTTCTTAATCTGAAACTGTTCTTAACCTGAAGCACCACTTTAGCTAATGGGGCCTCCCGCTGCTGCCGCGCCACCGGAGCACGCTTTCTGTTCTCATCCTGAAGCAAAGTTCTTAACCTGAAGCACTATTTCTGGGTTAGCAGAGTCTGTAACCTGAAGTGTATGTAACCTGAGGTACCACTGTACTGACCATGAGTTGTTTCCATTTGGTTCTAGAGAGTTTGGTTTGATTTGAGGGATATTCTGACTAGAATAGTTGGAACAAACAATAAAATTGCCTGTAAATAAAACCTTAAAAAATTTAGCACAATATGTGCAATTGCTAGATATAGATTATCTAGAAGCTCGGTGCAAACAGGAACACCAAACACATTGACTGCCTACTTCAACCCCCCCAGGCTTCAGTCCTATATGCAGTTAAGCAAGAGTTAAGTCCTTAATAGAACTTACTTCTGACATATATTGGATTGTGGTGTAAATGGAGCCCTACATCCAAATCAGTGACAAACCCAGCTGAAGCCTCAGGGTGGGAATGAGCAAAGAACTGTATTAAATGAGCAGCAAAAGGTATGTAAGAAGCAGGAGGCAATCCCATGATCTGTACATAGGAAGGAAATTAGTGCAACCACCATTAAGACCCTGCTGTGTGCCATCTCGGATCTTGTATTAAAAAAAAAGAAAAACTATCAGGGATGCCTCCCTCAGGGATATAATTCTAGAGGTTCAGATGTACATATGGGAGAAACACTCAAGCATTTTATTAATGCTAAATTGTATTTTTCCACATCAAATATTTTTGGAGTCCCATTTCTTCTGCTTTTTTTCTTTGCTTCCCCCCCATCCCCCAGTGACTGCCATGAGTGTTGAGTAGTGCACTAATCCCATGTTTATACGGTGGCAAGGCTTGTAAACTTTGAGATCCGGTGTGTCGTAATAGTTAGAGTGCTGCACTAAGACCTGGGAGACCAGCATTCAAATCGCTACCAAGCCATAAAGCTAGCTCACCTTGGGCCAGTCACAGTCTCCCAGCCTAAGGGGCTCATCTACACGTACCTTTTGCCCTGCGCTTCCTAAGTTCAGGTCTGCACAGGAAAACCCGCTCTTTAGTGCTGAATTGGAACAAATGGCAATTTGGCTTTTCCATAGATTGCTATTTGCTCCAATTTAGCGGTAGAGAGCGGGTTTTTGTGGGGAAAGTTCCGGGGCAAGAAAGAAAAGAAAAGAAAAGTGCTTGGACAAGGGAGCTTTAAATCACAGACCTGCACCTGGAAGTGCAGCACGAAAGGATGTCTGGATGAGTCCTAACCCACCTCACAGGGTTGTTGTAATAATAAAAATTGGGGAGGGGGGAGAACCAGGTACACCATCTTGAGCTCCTTGGAGGAAAGGTGGGATATGAAAGTAAACATAATAATAAGCAAGTACTGTATTTAGTCATGTTTACATCTATGTAGGCATGGCTGCTTTAGAGCAGGCTGGGAACTTCTCCTGGGCCTTCGCTTCTTCGTGTGTGTGTGTGTGTGTGTGTGTTGTGTTGCCACTGAGCCTTTTCGTTGTCCTCTTGGTGAATGAGGATTTTGCCCCAAGTTCACTGGAGGCTGTGTTTGCTCAAGAGTTCATGAGAACTCGGTGGCGGAGAGCAGAGAAGGTGCCCGACATGAAGGGATTAAGAGGGGGGGGTCTCTCTAAGACCCGAACACAGTCTGTCGCAGACAGCTTTTCTTGCTCCTGGATTAAGGTTCACGCTGTGTTGCTTGCCGCTCTTTTGAAAACCATGTCGAGTGATGTGGGATGCCACTCTGTCCCTGCGGTTGTACTTTGTACCATTCTGCTTCCCGTCTGCTTCATTTAGCCTCTCTCGCCTTTAGCCTTCCATTCAAGGAGCATCTTTCACTCCTCTCCCCATTCAGCTTTCCCTTTGCTGTCTTGCCCCTTGTTAAGACTCCGCAGCCTTCAGCACCATTCATCTCGTCCTCTGGCTCATTCACATTTCTGCTTTCCTTTACTCCATTCATATCCCACCGTCCGTCTGGCTGGCCAGCCAACCAAAGGGCTTCTCTTCTTCCCGGGCTCACCACCCCCTTTGTCTTTTTGCAATCCCCTTAAACATCTGACAGCTGATAAGGCATGGGGTTTTGAGATAGGTTATTGTGCAGCCCCCTCTACCCCACTTCCAAGGGTCCTAGTTTATGCCTGGAATATGGGGCTAAATTTAGCATCATGCGTTAAACAACTTAAAATATTTTCATCTGTTTGTCCCGGTACGACAGTATAGAACTTGATTTCTTCTACACCCTTTTTGCTAGGAACTTGCAGTTTACTGTATAAATGCAAAGGTTGTGTGTGTGTGTGTGTGTGTGTGTGAGAGAGAGAGAGAGAGAGAGAGAGAGTGTGCCAGGTAGACAGACAGACAGAGAGAGTGAGTGAGTGAGTGAGAAATTCTCACTTTCAGAGGCAAAGGTATGGTAGCCTTAATTTCCTACTGAAACGTGAAGCTGATATTTTAAAAAGAAAATAAAAAGATTAACTGAAGGCATCATCAGCCTGACAACTGGTAGAAATGTGAGATTTGTCACCAAAAGCTATGACTACTCAGAGAAAATCTATGTGTTCCATTACAACAGGAAAGGAAATGGTCTACTTTTATGTCACAATTTTATTTAATCATCTGTGAATTTTAAAGGTAGTTTTCAAACAGTAAATGGTTTACAAGATAGACTGAAGAGAACCCTGCTGCTGAATAGGAGCATGGGGGGGGGGGACTCTATTATATTGTTCATTGTGAAATCCCTTTGGTGTATGGCAGCAAATTTCATGGTGATGTTTGCTTCGCTCCTGCTTTTTGATGTCCCTGTTATCCCAGTGAAGTATTTGCGTATCTCTGCATTTTATTGGAGACTTCATGGCTAGTACTCAGGACTGAGAAAATAAATTGTGTGTGCGAGCGAGTAACGTGGTGGGCAGGGTGTTCAGCTTTGGCAAGGGAGACCTGGGGTTCAAAAACATCACACTGTGACCTTGGGCCCCTCCTGATCTCTGAGCCTTAACTCTGAGCTCTTTAATGCTGAATTGGAACAAATGGCAATTCGGCTTTTCCATACCAATTTAGCGGTAGAGAGCGGGTTTTTGTGGGGAAAGTTCTGGGGCAAAAAAGAAAGAAAGGAAAGAAAAGAAAAGAAAAGAAAAGAAAAGAAAAGAAAAGAAAAGAAAAGTGCTTGGACAAGGGAGCTTTAAATCACAGACCTGTGCCTGGAATCTCTGAGCAATGAAATCTCTCCTAACCAATATCCACACCTGCTTAGAAGACTTAGGAATTAAGTCAGCCACGTACGCTTGCCCCTGTGTGGTAGGGTGTTAATGTGTTCAGGATCACTGCTTCCATGTGTCTGT